ACTAAGAAGCTAAGGCCACTTCAGTATGAGTTCGATCCCTGCCCTGGATGTGACCCATATGGCGTGGCAGACCTCTCCTGACCCACCCACTATTCCCCTCAGCAGTGTACTTAGCTGATCTTCCTGTTTTGCTCCCCATTCTGTCTCTGGTGAATCCTCTCACTGCCCCTGCACCTCTGGCCTGTACCCCAGTTCTGTATGTATAAATAAATACATCTTTAAAAAACAAAAAACTCGGGCCCTCCCTGGTGGCACAGCAGGTTAAAGAACAGTACAAAGAAGCTTAAACCACTTCTGTATGAGTTCAATCCCCACCTGCCCCTTAGGTGATCCACATGGCGTGGCAGACCTCTCCTGACCCGCACGCTGCTCCCCTCAGCAGTGTACTTCGTCAATCTGCCTGTTCTATACCCCACTCTGTCTCTGGTAAATCCTCTCACCCTCCGCATCTCTGGCCTGTACCCCCAGTTCTGTACGAATAAATAAATCTTTTAAAAAAAATTAAAATTTAAAAAAAAACAAAAAACTTTCACAAACTCATACAAATAATTATTATTCATAGTGATAGGTTAATAATAAAAAAGTAGCAATATATTTTTAAGAAGATGTGTCTCTTAGAAATTTTAATTTCAAAATAGCTTTAATGGTTTTTTGATGCTGTAATGGATAGCCTCAATGATAAATATTTTTTCATGCTTTGGATAAAGAAGTGTTCTCTGTTTTTTACAGAACTCATTAGGTTGGGGCAGAATCCCTAGAGCCCAAGCCAATGAGCCTTTTCATATATTATTCTTCAAACTTTGCTAAATGTCTGCTGCATTGGATAGTACTAATAAAGTATTCCTCTTATTTGTTAAGTAACTAAAGTGATACTTAGAATTTGAATATATAGAATGCTAATTATATGAGATAAAAAGGAGGGTGAGACTATGAAAATACAGTTTATGTTAGTATGTTTTACATAGATGCTTAGAATAAAGTAATTTACTACTGAGAAGAAAATGAGAGAGAAAATAGGTAATATTCCTTTGACTTGTTAACAACACACATGGTATTGAGACAATTGCAGAGAAAGCAGATTCAGGTAAATTGTACAATTTAGAAATAGCACTGTCGGTGTTTCAGAATCTCTCCTAGTCTTGAACTTAGTATGTGTCATGATTAAATTTGAGTTAAAAGAATATACTTGAAAAATAGTTTCACCTTCCAGTTACAAGTATCCAATACTCACATGGCAGTTTAAATATCAGATCCTGAAGTCACTCATGTTTGTATAATCTTCTTTCTCCTATGTTTAGGAATCTTGAAGATGAATTAAGTAAACAGGGAAGGCTTCAATTTAAACAAAGAGGGAAAGAGAGAATAAACACTCATAGGAATGTGCTCTAGAACTCTTACAGAAGTATGGGAAAAAATCCAGCCAAACACACAAGTCAGAAACTTCTATCTGTTCTCTATCATAAGCCTATTAGTGGTACATGGACAAAACATTTCATACAAAGATCATGGGAAGCAACACTGATGGTGTGGCATGTAATGAATAAGTCTGTGTCCTTGAATTTCAACTCAGCGTCAAATGCTAAGCATGTGAACTGGAAAAATATATGTCCCCATTTTAATATCAGTAGAGAAATAGTTCTGAGTCTAAAATAATTTTTACATTTTTAGTAAAAGAAAAGTAGCATGGATTAATAGCACACAATTCAAAATTATTTGTTAAAGTGCAAATTCTAATATCTGCTTATTTTACAATTTTATATTAAGCAAGCTTTTCATTTACATTATACAGATTCCATTTTTATGCCATGGGCCAGTCAACAGAACTGAATAATGTACATCTGACATGCTATGAAAAAATAATGAAAGCATTAAAAAGTGAAGAATTTCCTTTACCAGACCATGAATTCCTTTAAAAAAAAGTCTTTATAAAGAGAAAAAATGTTTAACATAGCAAATTAGCCATAAGTTCTACAATATTCTAATGATTGTTTACATGCCATTTGCTTATAATAAAGACCTTTCTACTAACTGGAGCACAATATACATAGAAAAATTTAAAATCACACATACAAAGTTCAATAAAATATTTGCAGTTATACACATACCAGTATAAGCCAACATTAAGGTGAAAAGAAATCATTGTTGGTATTTCAGATGCTCAACACTATCCCTTCCCTTCTCCAAAAAGGCAATTCTTTTTTAATTTCTGAAAGCATAGATAGTTTTGGATTTTGAACACTTTCTATATATAAAAAGTAGGATATATTTCTTGTGCTTGGATTTTCCTATCTGTATTATTTTTGTGAGATTGATTCATTCATGTTGTTGCTTATAGCTATTTTCTGCCCTTTGCTTACTTGCTTCCTGCCCTTCTTCCCTGTCTCTTCTTCTTTTCCTTCTCTTCTCTTCTCTTTCCCCCTGTATACATGTGAATTTATAGTTTTGCAGTATATATAGTTATATTCATTGTACTGGAGAACCAGCTTATCTATTCTTTTTATGAAGAACCTTGGATTATTTTCAATTCAGGGCTAGTTCTAAAAAATTCTGCCGATATGCATATGTTCTTGGTGCACATGTGCTGCTTTTCTCTTGGATGCATATTAAAAGTGGAAATACTAAGACATGTGGTATGGGAACATTCACATTTATTAGATACTGTCAACTGTTTTCTAAATCAGCTGAACTTACATTCCCACTAGTCATACATAAGTTTCTGTTCTTTATGGCAATTGGCAATTTATTGGGTATGTGATGATTATTCCTTGAGATGTTGGTTTGTATTTCTCTGATTGCTAATAAATTTATGTATATTCCCACATTTTTTAGCCTTAGCCAAAACCAGATTTAATTTATAATCAAAATTTCTGATAATTATTAAATTGTTGGTTTTTATTTTGCATATTAGCATCCTAGGTAAGTACAAATTATATCCTTTGCTAAAGTATGGTGTAGGAAAATCATAAAACTGTAAAATGTCATCCTCCCCCCACCCAAAAAAAAAGTTATCCCATTTTTTTCTGGTTTCTTGGGTCAATTTTTATGAATCAATATTTTAGATGAGAAGTTGCATTTTAATTAGGGCTCATAAAGTTAGTACAGGAAGGAACTATTCCAGTCAAATCAAATCCATTTAACAACTATGAGGCAATATGTCCTCTTGCCAACCAGTTGTATTATCTCCAGATTATCATTTCTTATATTTCTTAGTTCTCAAGTTCTATTTGCTCAACAATCCCATTGGCCCCATTTAAGTCTGTAAAGTAGAATGTAGGAGTAGGTGGTACATTATAGGAAGGACATGGCAATTTTTTGCATTTCAAATAAGTCGCTTATGTAATTCTGATAAATTATCCACATTAAAGACTTCTGAATGACAATATAATATAAAGATCTTGAAAAGATACACCAGACAATTACTATGTGGTCAGCTTATACAGTATCAAAACATGGAATTAAAGTAATGGAGGAGGGTTGTATTGCTAAGAGTTCCCTGTCAATAAGAGGTACCTAACAACCTGCTCAGTGAAAGTTGTTCTTCAACCTTTACTTCATTGACTGAAGATTGTGCTAGATGGTCATATAGTCAACTGTTAATACATTCCTCGTAAACTGAAACAGAATTTGTGTTTTTTCACACCTGCCATACCTAGACAGACACCATAATGACCAGATACAAAACATTGACTCAATTTTTAGATTTCCAAGCCTATCACCTTTTAAAAATGCCTCTTTTTAAATATAGCCAAAACCTCTATTAATAGATGTAAGCATTGAATATCATTGAGGGTACTTGGCACAATGCAACAGCAAGCATAAGAATGCTTGAAATAAATTTCCATAAATTTGAAGAAAACCTGTCAGTAAAAGTAATTTCTGTCTCATTTAATAAAAGGCTAGATATATATACAAATATTAGAATTTTAAATTATGTTTTACTTTCTTCACCCACTCTAATTGCCTTTCAGCAGGTTAAAGTTTATAAATTATGATTATCTTAGCTAACCTCATTTAACAGTACTTCATAATGAGATAGCTAAAGGGAAACTGCAGCTTCTAAACATAAAGTCTGGATTGATATAATCAGTTCATTTGCTTACGATTATTTGTATTATGACTTTCAGTATCTTCAGTGTGATAAATTACAATATGCAATCATGGATTTTTCTACCTTTCAAAATATTGAGACAGAATATCTAATTACAAAGTTACTGTGGTTATTATATTCTTAAGTAGTTTTTGTTTTATTCACATTCAAAGGTATAAAAAGATTTGTAAAAGTCTTCTTTGTATTTGAAAATATGATTTATAATGTTCAGTTTGCTTTTTCAAAACAATGAACTCAGAGATAGGGATGTTTCCCTTCTGACTGAGTGGAAAGTTAAGCATCACCCTGGAGGGGTTAATGGGCCTTACTTCTATTATCACTTCTCACCCATGACAAATCAGTGATTCATTCAGTTCACTTTTCAAATTGTGCAACAGACATACTTCTTTGCTTACCTGCCCAGGTTTTTGGAAAGTACCCAGGCCTGTACTAATGATTTTAGAAGGAGTGTTCTTTTCACACTAAGGGCTGGTACAGAAGTATCCTAAACATACTACTATGTTCTCTGGAAGAAAAACAGTGTAAGGTGAACAAGTGATAAGTGATATGTGTAGAAATTTTGAGAATTTCAGACTAGTAGTAATCATATTCATTGAAGGAAAAGTAAGAAATCTTATTAACTTTAGTGTTAAGACTCAGAACCAGAAGCATTTTTAACTAAATTTATATCAGTGTAATCCATCCCACTTAGTCAGATGAAATAATGCCTAATTCTGGAAAATAAATAAAACAATAACATTATTAGAAAAAATTTAGATCCATATATGTTCTTTCTTTCAAATTAATTAAACCATTGATTGACTTTATTTTAATATTAAGTGTATGATAATATTTGTTATAACTGAAGAAAAAATCTTATAATTTCCTTTTGTCCATTTTTCATTCTTCCTAGATGTCTGTCACCACTATTGTGTAAATTCTGAATCTTGTACCATTGGGGATGATGGAAGTGTTGAATGTGTCTGTCCAACACGCTACGAAGGACTGAAATGTGAGGTTGACAAATGTGTAAGGTGCCATGGGGGGCATTGCATTATAAATAAAGACAGTGAAGATATATTTTGCAAGTAAGTAGGCATGCAACTTAATTTATAAAAGCATTTGAACCCCAAAAGATGTGGCAATGCAGCAATAAACTGTGAAAGCAGTATAAATTACCTTTAACCTAAAATTTTATATGACAGCCATTGCATAGTTTTTATTTATTTTTATCTACAGGTGAACTTCAGTTTATTTCAATTAAAACCATATTTAATATCTATTAATAACTCTGGAGAATATGAAAATTCATCATGCAATGATATGAATGTATGACTATTTGCTATGTTGAATATTCTTAAACATTTATAAAAATAGTAAAATATAACATACCTTCAAAAAGATATATGTAATAATACTAATAGTAGTAATAATTTTGAATAGGTCAAATTTTTTGTTGTTTCATGATTGCTATCCACAGTAGTGTTGCTTTGTTATAAAGTGATCTTGTGAGGAAGAAACAAAAGACCTATCTTATGGAAATTAATTTAGTCTTTTTGCCTCCTTAATTTGACATTGAATATTGTAGCCCAGAAGAGGTGAAGAAATTATGTTTTATAGTAAGCAACTATAAGAAAAAGTTCATATTAAATGTTTTTCCATTCACTTGCTCTTTTATGCTTTGATTTTAAGATCAAGAGATTGGAAAACAGAACTTCACAGCTACATTGTAATGTCATTCACTTTCTGTCATGAAGCAAGTTTATGCCACTAAGGTTAGAGGTCAATTCTCACTCTGAAACTCTTTCCAAAGCTTCAGTTGTATAATCGGTTAGTGTGGTGCTTATATGAAACTCTTTTAACAACCTTTTAAAAAAGGGATCATAAAGAACCAAACTCTATCACTTGTCTTGCTAGACATAAATCAATGAAAATATGAATGAAAAAGCATGTCATGAAGTGATCATGACCAGCTTCTACTGAGATAGCTCTGTGAAGGTGTCAGCCTTCAGCCCTGAGTTACATTGTTCTGTCATACAAAGTCCAATAACATTTTATTACAGTCAGCATTGACAGGTTTGTTTTGTTTGTTTGTTTACTATCATTTTAAAATGTACTCTAAATGTATTTTGTTATCATTATGAATGGCATTTACTCAAACCTTCAAATTGGCTGATTAAAAAATACATTACTTTTTAAACTAAAGTAATTGAAATGATGACAAATTATAAATCTATGACTTTGATAAGTACATTAAAGCAAAAGTACATTTTCCAATAAATCATATTTGTTCACTAAGTTCATCAGTCTTTGTGATGAAACTTTAGTGTGACAGAACTTTATTTCAGTTGGTAAGAATACTTTTTTCTGCATGTCTAGTATACCACATCAAAAATGAGTTGTGGAATCTTCTTTCTAACCCCACTCACTCCCTGGAAGTCAGAGTCATCTAAAGGAAGCTATAAGTCACCATTTCCTGTTCAGTATACCTTGAGAAAAAGTTGAGTTAAGACCCCGCGATAGGGAAGTTCCCTCTGAGGAAGAAAGCTTAAGCTTCTCAGGGTCCTCAGTGTCGTCTGCTGTGCAGAGAAAACTGGCATCTTAACCAAGAAACATCAAGGTCTTATAACCTGAATAAGTTGTCGAGATACACGTAGAGCATAGTTTGTCTCTCCTAAAGGATATTTGTGGGAAAAAACCTATCTAAAAATAGATAAACAGGGCCTCCCTTGTGGTGCAAGGGGTTAAATCTCAGCAGCCACTGCAGTACAAGTTTTATCCCCAGCCAGGGAACTAACCCACATGGCACAGCTGACCTCTCCTGCCTCGCTGGCTGCTCCCCTCACTAGTTTATTTCAGTCACTGTTATGCTCCCCACTCTGTCTCTGGTGAATCCTTTCACCTCCTGCAACTCTGTCCTTCACCCCCCATCTTACATGCATAAATAAATATTTTTTAAAGAATTGATAAATAACAGTTTCTCGCAATGAGTAGTGATTTTTTTTTAAAATAAGAGTCTAATAATTATTGATTTATAAAATTGGTTGCAGAACATATGGCCTGGCAATATGCACAGGACATCTTGGCTATTCCTTAACTTGCAGGATTTTTTTATTTCTTTGATAACTTTCAACTTAACCTCAAGTGAACTTTACAGTGATGTTGGAATTCAGTTTCATAAGCAAAGATCTTTGAGCTAAGTAATTTACCAATGAGTTAAATATTTTTTTAGTTAGTAGAAAAATTTAAGTCATCATGTGAACTGGTGATGACAAATAGTGGTTCTATGTGTGCTTTCAACTAGAATATATACATTGTCAAGTATATGAATATAATCTTTAAAACATTAATTATATATTTTCTCTTTTATGGAAAGTATTAATAAAAGAAGGAAAGTATTAATAAAGAAAGACTTGATCATAGTTTTAAAAAGCAAAAATAATGCTCTGTGATGTCAGTTGTTATGGAAATTATTTTTGTGTACTAGACAACTGATAATTAACTTTTGGAAAGTGATAGATCACAAACATAGTGTGTTTGTGATTGTATATGTACATCACATATGAAAGGTATGAAATTATTATGAAAACTTACATCAAAATATCAGCTGCATTCTTTGATATAATGATTTGGATAATTTATGTTTCACATTTAAAATATCTGCACATGTCTGTCTTCAATTTAGGATTTAAATATAACCTTTAAGAAAGAGGAAAAGGTAACTTTTTTATAACTCTTAGAAGTAGACTTTAAAAAGCAATTAGTAACTGGAATTAATAGCAGATATTTGGTATATAGTTATCTTATTGTGCGAAATACTTTAATGTATAATGAGCCATTTTTTTCTTTTGACATAGTCCCTTTTATAGCAAAAGAATGCCAAGATCCATATCAGATACCAACACCTCTGAGTACTTGACTCCCTTTGCATCTACAATTGGATGCCTCTATAAATTCTAAAAGATACACTATCCTTTGTTAATTCTTAAAAACTTTAAACCATTGACCTTGATACTTTCCATTTTCACATATCTCCATATGTTGACACATGGAGTACAAAGTTGACTCACTATGAAATGAGGATTAGATACTGATGTTATTGTCTCCTGAAGCATAAATAAGTAATGCAATGTATTGTTTCAGATATATGTCTATTCATTTTGGAAAGAAAGGTTATTTTAAAACCCAGGTTCTTTAAAGTTATCTTTGCCCTCCCTGGTGGCACAGAGTTATAGAGCAGCACTGTGAAGTTGGATGTGGCTGTTTTGGTGTGAGTTCAATTTCCCCACACACAACCTCCACCCCAGCACACCCCTAACCCCAGGTGATCTACATAGCTCAGCAGACTTCCCCTGTCTCACCCACTGCTCCCCTCAACAATATACTTCATCAGTCTGCCTTTTCATGCCCTACTCTGTCTCTGGTGAACCCTTTCACTGCCCCAACACCTCTGTATGCATTAAAAAATAAATCTTTTTAAAAATTATCTTTGCAGTAATTAAACGAACACCTTTGGAATTTTAACCAGGTCAGTATATTTCCAGCAGCCCTATCATCCTTATGAAGTCAAATAAATATGCACAGAATAATTTAACAGCAGGATTGCAAATTATTTCAGGTCTCCAACCTATCATTGGAAATTCCCCTTGGATGCATGTAGTGCAGTAGATATCCATTATGGAAAGGATCCAAGTGATTAATCAATGATAGTGTATCTTGATTTGTTTGTTGAGATCATGCTCAGATTTATCTGTGATACCATTGATTGCTTCATGGGGCCTAGGACTAACATGATGTCATAATCAGAATATTGACATGAGTTGTACCGATTCTGATTTGGGTCAAGGCTTATATGATTCTATTAGCATACTTCTCATAGAAGAGGACTTTCAATAATTTAGATTATAAATGAACTTTTTCTCCTGACAGTTTTCACCTTCCAATCTAATAGTATTTTTATGTGTGTATGTATGTGTGTGTGTGTGTGTGTGTGTGTAGGCATTTTGAAATATAACATGGGATGTAAGAGGAAACTTACTTTTCTGATTACTGTTATGCTTATTTTCTTGAGTAGCAATAGCCATACTGGATATTCTTATGCCAACATGTATTATAATGTAGAGTTGTTTCTCTGAGTTTTTCAACAAAGCCTATCTCATTAGTTTGTTGTCATCTTGAATATTGTTCCTACAACATTACTATTTATTTTTTATATGAATCACTACATGGACTTTCTGTTAGAATAAAAAGAGTTTGACATTAATGACAAAACCTGTTCAAGTAGAAACAATGGAATAAAAATGACACAGGATAATCCTAAATTTTGTTTCAACATGTGGAATCTAAAACTCTTGACAGTTCTTTGGAGCAGGATTTTGCTAGTTAAAAGAACTATCTGAAGTATTTGCTTCCAGAGTTTTGATCATATAGATTATAATACATAATTGTATCACCAAACCCTAGTTGTATGAAATGAGGATAAGATACTGATGTTATTGTCTCCTGAACCATAAATAAGTAATATAGCTTATTGTTTCAGATATATGTCTAGTTTTATTAATGTTTTACATTAAGCAAATGGAAATTTAAAAAATACCGAAATAAAAATTTGGTATGTCAAATTTTGTTTAAAAAATTCTTTGTCTTCAACATGTTTGTCTTTGTGAAAACTCATGTTTTGCCAGCCACTCCATTTCTCCCTGAGATGAATATTCTCATCTGCAGAGTTTGTGTCACTTTTCTACAAGAATGATGCCAGTAACAATGCTTTTTTTTTTTCTTTGTTGCTGCAGCTGCACTAATGGAAAGATAGCCTCTAGCTGTCAGTTATGCGATGGCTACTGTTATAATGGTGGCACATGCCAGCTGGACCCCGAGACAAATATACCTGTGTGTCTGTGAGTATTTTAGAATGGTGTGGGCATTTCATATGGATCTGTATGAACATGGAATTCCTGGTCTATTGTTCTCCTTTCTTGGAGTAATTCATTTTAAATTAATGTTTCATGGACATCTATGATCTAGTATTGTCCCTCATTGGCTCATATGGTACAGAATCTCCTTCTTCGTCAATTTGCTAATAATTTCATAAGGAAGAGTTCATTCAGTTGTTTGCTCCATACCCATTTTAGACATTCATAGATCTTAAACTGGGAAGTGCTGGGGAAAATTTTTTTCTAATTTCATTGTCCTTATTCAGATATGTGAAACCAAAAGATAGTCATGTACTTGTGAATACTTAGTCCTTATATTATACCCATTCTTTTCTAAAGAATTTGAGGAATATTCTTAAGTGTTTAATGGCTTAATGCTCTTTGATAGTTGCAACTGGTTTAAAGAGCTGTACTATGTAAACCTATTAAGCCCCTGACTCCTTCAGAGTAGGTAACTTGACTCTGGGCTTCTAAATCTTTGGAAAAATATTGGAGTTTCTCTGCTGCTGAGAAAACCTGGATTTAATACATGCCCCTCTCAGTTACCAGATTGTCCAAAATGGACAACTTGAAATAAACACATTCCACTGATACAATCTGTTTTAATTTTTTATCACTGCTTGACCAGAAGGATAATGCCCACACATGACCCACTTCTGCACCCTATCCCCCCTCATCAAAGTAGCATGTAATGAGTGTCTACGAGATGAAACTGAGCATACCCAAGAAAAAAATAATTCATATGTTACTATATCTGTATGAAATAAATTTGAAACATATTTGGGGAAAAAAGTCCGATGCTTTATTTAGCTGTATTTTACTGAAATTCTGCAGATGCTCTGTGGGGTTTAAAAGTCAGCGCTGTGACCAGAAAGAGAACCCTTGTGATCACTACTGTCAGAATGAGGGGATTTGCACTTTAACTGCGTTTAATGAGCCAAGATGCAAGTAGGTTTAACCTTCCACTTACCACTGCGTTTCATGTGACATCATTTCAGGCCACAGTTCATTGGTTTAAATCATGAACATCCACATGCATTTCACAGTGTATACTTAATCTCGGGGCTCATCTATGTCATATACACTTAACCTTTGCTTCGCTCGCTGACAAGTGTCTGCACCAGATTCAGTTCAAATGTCTAGAAATATAGTGGAGGGAACGAAAAAGCTCGTGGAAGTGTCTAATAAAAATGTTTTTTAGAATAGTGACTTTTAATTAGAGAAATACAGAAGTAGATTTTTTTAGACTTTATTACTGTGTACTATATTTGGAATGATTTTTTTATTTAGTGACTCAAATAGTGGTGGAACAGTACGTTATTCTGGTTCTAAAAATTTTACTGAGCATTATTTTAACTTTAATCTGTAATAAATCTTTACAGAATAGATACATGCTAAAAATATTCCAGAAACTTCATTTAATACTTCCAATCTTTCTACATTCAATGACATGAAACTTGTCAATGAAAATAAACTGATGTCCTGAGAAATTTCAGGACCAACTTTGGGGTAACTATGCTCATCACAATGCAAATTATGCTTGAATTTTACATTTGAAACTCAGTGATGGATCATACCTGACATCCTCCTTAATACCCAATGTCATAAACAGTGCTCATGATTGGCATCTGATTATAACCCCATGGTGATGTCTCAGAATACTTAGTAATGGTTTTAAAGCATAATTCTATTAAACTTCAGATGTCTCATTATCAAAACTCTACAATTTTGTTCATAGTGATCTATTTTGTAATTCAGGAAAATGTCACTCCTTAGACAGTCATTTAAAAATATGGAAAGTGATTAAAATAATCACATACTTTGTGTGTGATATTTTTTACCTTTCTCTGGAAGACATTTGAATATGGTAAGCCAACATTCATACATAATTTACATCCAGAAATAACTTTTTAAGTAGTAGTCTTTAAAATGTATATAAATTGATAAGATGAGTTGATTCATTTATCAGTTCATACTCAGATTTAGTAACCCATGATTTAGTAGCCCTTAAAGACAGAGAGGAGACCCAATTTTAGTCCTGGAAACTGGAAAGATAAATTGAAAACCTATATATGCCAACTGAGGGGATTCCATAAGATTCTGATAATAACTTTGTAGTCAGTGAGATCTGAGGCAGAACCTTGAGCTAAAATACTTTACATCAGATTTTAAGTGGTAGTGGTCATGTATCTTTAATGAAAATCTAGTCTATACTATTTTATATAGAAGCTTTTACAGGAAACAAAAATAGCCCTAAGAGATAAGATACAGTGTTTGCTTTAGTTTTTGTAGGTGCTATCTATCTTTTTTTCATAGAGTGAACCATTTGAAACGTGTGATACTTATATGCATTTGAAAAGCCTATAAAGTATTCAGATCTATGAAGGTGACAATTTTCTTTTTCGACATAAAAATTTTATTATTGTATCTTTCAATTTAAGGAATAGATTTGTTCTGTGAAAGCCTTCACTTTTGTCTCTTGATGGCCATTTTCATTTATGTGTGAAAGTAAAAGAAAATTCCAAAGAGAAGCCTACAAAAAAAAATAGTTTTTTTTTAATGTTTATTGGGAGAAAGTTTTGATATTTATTAAAGTTGGCACACTGAATAATGTAGAAAATCATATTTTTAAAAATTTGATATGTGTTATCTTGGTATTACTTGCATTGTTAAATAACTTCTTATGAGATGAAAATTTTAATTTCTCTTTAAAGATTTATGTATTTATGCTCACAAAACTGGGGTACAGGCCAGGGTGCAGGAGTGGTGAAAGGATTCACCAGAGACAGAGTGGGGTGCAGGACAGACAGATGACAAAGCACACAGTTGAGGGGAGCAGGGGGTAGGTCAGGAGTGGTCTGCGGAGGCACCATGTGGGATTGAACTCATGCTGAAGTGGCTTTAGCTTCTTAGTGCTGTGCTTAAACCTGCTGCACCACAAGGGGAAGGCACATTTTTTTTTTTATTTTTAATATGTTAATGTAATTTTTTTTTTGAGGAAACATTAGCTACAACAGTGTTTGTGATTCAAAGATGTAGAATAACACTCCCACCAATATAGCTCACCACAGCACATACACCATTGAGTTCCCCTTAACCCTCCACACATTGCCCCTTAAACCCCCTTCTGCTCCCCATTTTGTAGTCTTGTATGGTCAATTTCAGCCAGTTTTCATAGTGTTTTTTATTGGTTCAGTTTGTCTAACCCTTTTTGTCTCTCTGTATTCCACATATAAGTGAAACCATCAGGTTTGGACACAGAAATTTTCAATACTGGACATACTATTGATTTCAGTAACAAGCTGTGTTTGCCTTCTTCTGACTTTTCTCCCAAGAGTCAGACTTTCATTAATATTGGACTTAATTTTCTTTAAAGCATGGACCTACCATTACAGTATCATCTTCCAGAAATATCCACTGTAAATTTTACCACCAGTAATAAAAACATGTTTGTGACTACTTCACCTCTCCTACCATTACCATGATACCTACACAGGTAATAGCATATGCATAATAACCTCACAGAGCCACAGGACCATGCCACACCTTGGTGCCTTTGCTCAAACAACTCTGACCTAAATGTGTTTCCTACATTTTTTTTTCTACTTAGCTCTTATTATCACTCCAGTCTTAATAGAGAGATCATCTCTTTGAATGTGGATATGAGTAACATTAATTGAATGAGAATTGGCTGAAATTTTTTAAAAGAGAAGTGCCAGATTTTATTGAGAACCAAATATATAACTAAAAAATTATAATATATTGATGTTGTTTTATATATCATTAACATAGTAAACATTTTCAATATATAGATTAAATATCACATGTGAATGTAATTTATATATTACATTTATAGTCTCCAGGGAGACAGAACTAGTAGGATATATATATTTTTTCCTGTTGATTCTGTATAAGCATGTCTGTGTGTGTTAATGTATGTGTACATGTGTGTGTACACATGCATATATGTAAAGAGAAAGATAAATTACAGGAATTGACTCTTGAAATGATGAAAGCCAGGAAATCCCATGATGTACTATCTACAAACTGTAAAATGAGGAAAGATGGTCGTGTAATTCATTCTCAAACCTAAACCTGAAAAGCAAGGGGACTAAAGGCCCACAGAATAGGAATGTTGGTGTCCAAGGACACAAGTTGAAAATTGTCTCTCAAATAGAGAGCGAGAAAATGCCCCTTCCCTGCATATTTGTTCTGTTCTGCATACAATGAATTATATGCAGCCCACTATCATTCATGAGTATAATTTTTACTCCGTTTACTGTAATCTCTTCCAGAGACATCCTATAGACACAATTGTGTGTCTCTTAGTCCCTATTTTATGTGTCAAGTTGACATAAAATTAATTTACAAACAGAGAAGCACATATACAAAACACTCAGAGTATCTGTACAAGTAATTAGCTTTTGTAATTTTGATTTTAGTCACTAAAATTATGAATTAAAGTGTGTCTCTGTTATATTCATATATTGAAATCCATCAATTACTCACTTCCAAAATCAGTATCTCAGAATGGGCCTGTATTTACGATAAGACCCTTAAAAACTGATTAAGTTAACAACTTAGATGGAGCTAGAAAGGATCATGCTCATGCTCAGTGAAATAAGCCAGAAGGAAAAAGGAAAATATTGAATGGTTTCACTTATATGAGGCATATAGGGGAACCCAGTAAAAGATCAGGAAAAAATAATGATAAGCAAAACTAGTGGGCAATTATAAATAAGAGGTATTCTGTGAGGGAGAGTGAGAAAATGGATGAAAAATGGGAAGAAATGAGCACAAGGAACAATGGTGATGGTTCATGGGTGAAATGGTAGGAATTTTGGGGAATACTCAATGATATAAGATATAATTTTAAAAAAATACACTGTAAAATATGGGGCTCTATGGGTAAGACCAAATCCAATGAACTTATAAGAGAAAATGAGGACACACAGAAAGTCATC